GTTAGATGACAATATTTGTGTGCTATAATTATGCTGATAATTTCTTGCACCTTTGTATTGAAACTTATGAAAGCCAAACGTGTTTAACCCTAGCAAAAAAACTCTTCTATTATAAAGAAATTTTTAACATTTTTCGGGCCACAATATGGTGTAAACTTTTTAAAGAAAACAAAGCTTGTTTTTTGGCGAAACGGACTGTGGTTTTTTTTCTTTGAAGAGAGCGCGAGCCAAACGAGAGCTTCAAGCCCCGTGAGTACAGTGTAACCCAGTGATTCTTGAGGTAGAGCTAACAAACATAGGGTACACTTAAGGTGGCGCACACATGAGTGCAGTGTAACCCAGTGATTCTTTAGGTAGAGCTAACAAACATAGGCTGCACTTAAGGTGGCACAACCATGAGTAGAGTGTAACCCAGTGATTCTTTAGGTAGAGCTACCAAACATAGGCTGCACTTAAGGTGGCACACCCATGAGTGCAGTGTAACCCAGTGATTCTTTAGGTAGAGCTAGCAAACATAGGCTGCACTTAAGGTGGTGCACCCATGAGTACAGTGTAACCCAGTGATGCTTTAGCTAGAGCTAACAAACATAGGCTGCACTTAAGGTGGCGCACCCATGAGTGCAGTGTAACCCAGTGATTCTTTAGCTAGAGCTAGCAAACATAGGCTGCACTTAAGGTGGCGCACCCATGAGTGCAGTGTAACCCAGTGATTCTTTAGCTAGAGCTAGCAAACATAGGCTGCACTTAAGGTGGCGCACCCATGACTGCAGTGTAACCCAGTGATTCTTGAGGTAGAGCTAACAAACATAGGCTGCACTTAAGGTGGCGCACCCATGAGTGCAGTGCAACCCAGTGATTCTTTAGGTAGAGCTAGCAAACATAGGATGCACTTAAGGTGGCACACCCATGAGTGCAGTGTAACCCAGTGATTCTTTAGCTAGAGCTAACAAACATAGGCTGCACTGAAGGTGGCACACCCATGAGTGCAGTGTAACCCAGTGATTCTTTAGCTAGAGCTAGCAAACATAGGCTGCACTTAAGGTGGCGCACCCATGAGTGCAGTGTAACCCAGTGATTCTTTAGCTAGAGCTAACAAACATAGGCTGCACTGAAGGTGGCACACCCATGAGTGCAGTGTAACCCAGTGATTCTTTAGGTAGAGCTAACAAAGATAGGCTGCACTTAAGTTGGCACACCCATCGGTGCAGTGTAACCCAGTGATTCTTTAGCTAGAGCTAGCAAACATAGGCTGCACTTAAGGTGACACACCCATGAGTGCAGTGCAAACCAGTGATTCCTTAGGTAGAGCTAACAAACATAGGCTGCACTTAAGGTGGCGCACCCATGAGTGCAGTGTAACCCAGTGATTTTTTATTCCTCTTTATTCTTTATTCCTCCTTGCATACTTTACAAGGAGGCCGTGTGAAAATATTACATATCTTTAAACTAAGGTTTCTTAATTTTAAAAACATAAAGGGATGTCAACTGCCGCACCTCCACAGCCAACGGGCAAGCTGTTCCACAACACATTTCCGCTATGAGAAAGGCTTCTTTTGTAATAACAATTTGGTGCGTGGTTTTGGAACAGCGAGCTTGTATTTATTCAGGGGCACCCAACGACTGTTTTCTCACAAATATGTGTTCGGATAAGCAAAACTTGCTTAGAATTTTCTATAGCTTGAGGAAGGCTAAAAATTTCTAGATGACAGTTCCATTCATGTACACTTTTCGAAGCTTATCTAATAGACCTTTGTCATGCGGCGGCCATTTTGTCTCAGGAGATTTAAAAAGCTTTGTTTAAACACGGCTAGCCTCGTTCTCTCTACGACCAAGACCCAGGTTCTCTTGTGAACATGAGACTACATTCAGTGCTGTATACTCATGCGCTCATGGGTAAGTGACAGGTCTGGGTAACCAAAGCCAAAAAATATATATATATTTTATCATCCGAAAAAGTAAAGGGGACAAAGCTCCCCCGAGTTTTTAAGTTAATTAATTTTTCGTGTGGTTAGTATTACAACACAGATTGTAAATCATGTTTGGTGGCTTTCATTTGAATGGACTCAATCTATTGCAAGATTTCGAGTTGAGCAAAGGAAGCTGTAGTTTTGACGTTCATGGAATATACCATTCTAGCATCTCTAGCATGCGCAGACTCAATTAACTTGTACACATCACACTGAAAACAAATTCAATAGCTCACTTCGGAAAAGAGTGATAGCCTGGGACCCGAACTAGGCGCACGCAGATTTATGGGATTATTTAAGGGGGACGCGGATGTAAGCACTGTCATGGCGGAAGCCAAGCGGAATGTTTCAGCCGGGATAAAACAGCTCAAAATAGCAAAATGGAAGGTGGAATTGAAAGAAAAAGAAATGAAAATGTGAAACTGAAGGAAGAAGGTGTGCCTGGGGCAATTTTACCTGGAGAAAAACCAGAAGAATGCACCGTGAAACAGCTTCAGAGATGGCTTCTTTCTCGTGCAGCCAAAACAACCGGAAAGAAAACGCAACTCGTACAAAGGTAAATACACGCGGTCGGTGAAGTTCCTGAAGTTAACTGTGCACACACACAGACACACACACACAAAAAAAACAATAACTTGCATGTCTCGTCATAATTCAAGTCGGCTGATCGACTTGTCCCATAGATGAGCGCGCGCTTAGTTTGGGTCCCAGGCTATCACTCTTTTCCGAAGTGAGCTATTACATAACGTGTTAGGACAAGTAAAAGGGACTGCGAGATATCTGATTGGTTGTTGATTTACATCATAGGGATCTTTTTTGTACCCTATGAATTTTCGTGCATTCGAATCTTCGAATAAATATCTGCTGACTGTCGGGCTGTTGGTTGGTGGACTTAAAAGAGAAGCTAAGGTAAGATTCTTTTTGCTTGTGGATTTTGATTTGTGATGTGGAGGCGATCACAATTGATTGTCCTGGTTGAAGATTTGCAGGGTCTCATTCAAAAATACAGTTTGCTTTTTCAATGCGGTCTAGTGTGGACGAGATTTTGAAGTACAGTGTTGATGTTTACACCGTTCCAAATAATACGGACCCGATAACTCAGTTGTGTGTTGTTCATATTTGCTGTCAGTAAATTGCATGGACATGAACGACAACCGACCACCAAATAGGGTAGACGACACTTGGGCCTGTATTGGAAGCAATAAATTGAACTTGCCAAAATTGATCAAAGGCATTCTTCTTGATAATGTAGCGTTCATTTGAAGGTTTTTTGCCATGTTTTACTTGCCATGCGAGGATACTGGAGAATACATGTCTTTCTACAAAAAAAAAAATGATTAGAAAAACTTGTTGAAAAACTTCTTGGCCATCGACTGCGACTTCCGCTTTTAACAAGTATTACTTTCTTTTTATAATCTTGCTGCTCTCACCAGCTAAGTAGGAAAGCGAAAGGGTTTTACTTTTTTTGTCTTTACTTTCTTCGTGGAGGTAAGAAGATACCGAACGCCACTAAAGCGTCGGCGAAGAATTGAAAGTAAAACTGGGGCAAAACCCTGTTGTTAATCATTCATACTCCAGATGTGACACCAGAAGATAGTTGATACTTGAAATAAATTATAAAAGCTTGTTTCTTAGTAGTTAAAATATCGACTAAATTATGTAACCTTCAAGCTTTCTGACCATAGAAAAACCCAAAATACAAATATTATTAAATACTGAAGCGACGACAAAAAAGTGAAAGTGATGGGAGAAATCGTAATTACTGTTGATCATAATTCCATAGTTACAACTACGCTTACTAGCTTGGGTTTTTATAAGCAATGCATGATCAGATCATTTTTTCCCGTTTTATTCTTAAACAACAGAAGATAGGTTATTTTTTCTCTAAAGAAGAAGTTTCAATCTGGGCAAAACTAGGTGCCATGGGGCACTATCGTACAAATGCATGCTAGTATTTATGTGGTTAAATTACTTTTTGCGATCTTGTCAATTCAAGAAGATAAGCGTCACAGATACTGTACTTTACTGGCGTTACATTTTCTGAGTAAAAGATATCGAGACACCATGTCTTTCCGGGAATAAGGACAAGGAATGTTGATAAACCTATGCTGTATCGATTACGGCTCCGCATATACCTCTTACAACACGTCCCGGGGGGGTACTTTAGGAATTTCTGGGTGGGGATGTGCCGCTAGGACCCTGGAGCCCTTAACCTATACCAGAGCTAGTTAAGCTGAATTTTACTACCCTATACTAGAGTAAACGCCCCAAATCCCCCCTATCTTAGAGTAGCTGTTTCCCTGCTCTAGATAAAATCTTCGACTAACTGATCAGTTTCCTGAAAAATGATACCCTATTCTAGTCCCAAACACTCTGATTTATATACCCTGTCCTAGAATAAACTGCTTGAAAACCATACCCTTCACAGCGGCACATACCTATATAGCCCATATATGGCAGTACCCCCCCCCCCGGCAACATGTACTGCTTTGTCTTTATGTCATTGCTTCTCTTATCAATAAAGTAAGAAATGGTTGAATCTTTTCCACTTCTATCTACACGCCTATAATTTGTCTTGATAAACCTGCGCAGTTTAAAGTGTCTTCGCGGGAATGCATGGATAGCCTTAGCGTTGTATAGCATTAAACCTGTTTGTCAAGAAATTCAATCTCTTAGTCTCACTTGAAGGGGAAGAACCGTATTCGAAGGTTAGCTAACCCCTATCCACAAGGATTAAGCTATTTATAACGAAGGAAATGGTATAATAACATGTTTGGTGGTTTTCACTTGTCATGAATGGACACATTCCACTGCAAAAGTTCGACTTGAGCAAAGGAAGCTGTAGTTTTTTTGTTCATGGAATTACCATTCGAGCATGCGCAGACACAATTTACTTGTACACGTGACAAGAAAACAAATTCAATTACATAACTTATTAGGACAAGCAAAAGGAACTACTAGATATCTGATTGGTTGTTGATTTACGTCACGTGGGTGGGTTTTCTTGTACCTTATCAATTTTCGTGCTTTCGAATTTTTGAATCAACATCTCCTGACTGTCGGGCTGTTGGTCGGTGGACTTTAAAGAGAAGGTAAGCTTTTTGATTTGTTATCTGGCCGGAGGCGATCAGAATTGATTCTCCTGGTAGAAGATTTGCAGGGTCTCATTCAAAAGTACAGTGTGCTTTTTCAATGCGGTCTAGTGTGGACGAGATTTTTAAGTACAGTGTTGATGTTTACACCGTTCCAAATAATACGGACCCGATAACTCAGTTGTGTGTTGTTCATATTTGCTCTCAGTAAATTGCATAGACATAAACGACAACCGACCACCAAATAGGGTAGACGACACTTGGGCCTGTGTTGGAAGCAATAAATTGAACTTGTGAAAATTGATCAAAGGCATTCTTCTTGATAATTTACCGTTCATTTGAAGGTTTTTTGCCATGTTTTACTTGCCATGCGAGGATACTGGAGAATACATGTCTTTCTACAAAAAAAAAAAGATTGGGAAAACGCGTTGAAAAACTTCTTGGACATCGACTGCGACTTCCGCTTTTATCAAGTATTACTTTCTTTTTATAACCTTAATGCTCTCACCAGCTAAGTAGGAAAGCGAAAGGGTTTTACTTTTTCTGTCTTTACTTTCTACGTGGAGGTAAAAAGATACCGAACGCCACTAAAGCGTCGGCGAAGAATTGAAAGTAAAACTGGGGCAAAACCCTGTTGTTAATCATTCATACTCCAGATGTGACAGCAGAAGATAGTTGATACTTGAAATAAATTATAAAAGCTTGTTTCTTAGTAGTTAAAATATCGACTAAATTATGTAACCTTCAAGCTTTCTGACCATAGAAAAGCCCAAAATACAAATACTATTAAATACTGAAGCGACGACAAAGATTGAAAGTGAAGGGGAAAATCGTAATTATGTGGTAAGTATTTTGCGATTTTATCAGTTCAAAAAGATAACCGTTACAGATGGCGTTACATTTTCTGAGTAAAAGATATCGAGCCAACATGTCTTTCCAGGAATAAGGAGATCTGTTGATAAACCTATACAGTGGAACCCGGTTAATACGGACACCGAGGGGACATGCCATAGTGTCCGTATTATCCGGGTGTCCGTATTAAGCGGGCTCTCAGAGAAAACTTCAGGAAAACATGTTGTATCGATATAACGACCAATTAAAGCAGACGGAAAGAAACCTCACGAACATTTGTAAGTATTTTTAAGTATTGTAGTATTGTTATTGAAACAGACACGACAGTGGATTCATTTGAAAAAGTCTGTGACTTAACTTTAAGAGCAATGGCTGCAACAAAAAGCCAAGGAAGTGAAACGTGGGTAACAGGGGGCGGAAAAAGTTATTAAAGGTCTATACGTAGTACAAGAGTCAAACACCGGAGGAAAGACAGACTGTTCAAAATCAAATATGTCACGCTACTTTGTTACTGTTTTTTTTTTAGTACTGTAATAAAATTTTATTCACCGGTAAAAATCTGTCATTATTTGAACAGGGTACAATGTCTAGAATTATCACATAATTGTGACAATGAAAATAGACAGTGTGCAGATAACCAGTGTCCGCAAAGCCCGGTTGACAATATATGAGACTTTGTGACTCGGGACATAGAAAAGTGTCCGTTGTCCGTATTAACGGGTGTCCGTATAAAGCGGGTTAATTTAAGAGAAAATTTATGAGCTTTTTGTCGGGACAAACGAAACTGTCCGTATAAAGCGGATGTCCGTAGAGCGGGGTTCCACTGTACTGTATCGATTACGGCTGCGCTCTTACAACAATGTACTGCTTTGTCTTTCTGTCTTTGCTTCTCTTAACAATAAAGTAAGAAAAGGTTGAATCTTTTCCACTTCTATCTGTACGCCAATAATTTGTCTTGATAAACCCGCGCAGATTAGTGCATCTTCGCGGGAATGCCGGGATAGCGTCAGCGTTGTATAGCATTAAACCTGTTTGTCAAGAAATTCAATATTAGTTTCACAGAGGGGGGGGGGGGATTTACATCAGAGGGATTTTTTTTTGTACCCTGTGGATTTTCGTGCATTCGAATCATATCAATATCTGCTGACTGTCGCGCTCATGGTTGGTGGTCTTTAAAGAGAAGGTACTAAGATTCTTTTTGTTTGTGGATTCTGATTTGTGATCTGGAGGCGATCAGAATTGATTGTCCTGGTTGAAGATTTGCAGGGTCTATTTCGAAATACGGTATGCTTGTTCAATGCAGTCTAGTGTGTCGCTTACGTTCCGCTTATGATCCAGTGAAAAACCTTATTGTCGGTGTCGGAAGCAGAAGCGGAAGGATAAAATAATCACAGTGCACGTTCCCACGCTTTGTGATTGGTTAAGTTCGTCCGCTTCTGCTTTCGTCACACTGATTTCTACGATTAGGAGACGAAATCAGTTACCCTTGGCAATCTCCTATCTTGGTAACAAACTCTTTCCTGACAGCCCAAAAAAAATGCTTATGCGGCTATTTTCTCAAGGAGAAACCTTTCCACAACACAACAACGAGTTGCAATCCGTTGTAATCCTCATGCCTACGCAAATTAAGGTTTATAAATAACTCAGCACCAGTGGTAAACTGGAGAAGTAATTTTAATACATTAAATAAAACTGAACCAGAATTTTTGGGTTTTCCTTTGCTTTAAATACTTCAACTTCCCAAAGTATTTGCGATTTGCCTCCTTGTCTAATCTGTTGGTAACAAAAACATTATTCGATGCATTTTTCTTTCTTTTCATCGGTCGAGTGCAAACCACGTGACCTACAAATAACTGCCCACAAACAATAGTCTGCTCATGCGTAATACTATCGAACTACTGTGTTTTGCTTTAAAGTTTTGCTGCAAATAATATTCTGCTTGCGCATAAAGGAAACCACGCTCTTGTGGGCAAATTGAAGATTGCCTCCCTGAGCTGTCAGAGAGTGATTTTGCCTAAAATAATCATGAAAAACAAACTTGACGTTGATACGAATGATAAAACAAGTATTGAACTCGGTTACAGCAAAATATTATGACTTGTCAGTGTCTCGCAGATCAATTATTTGCCTTCAGCGTCGGCAAATAATTGATCTGCTCGCCACCGACAAATCACGATATTTTTGCTCAACCTCGACTAATAATTGTCAAATATTTTTTTTCAAAAAGGGCATCTGCGAGTAAAGCTTGTTTTCCTTCTTTTTTCTTTGTCCTCTAGTTTGCAAAAATACAAAGACGCATTGAAAATGGGAAACCTTCCAGTTATCCATGAAGTGGGAACCAGTTTTGTATCACTTGGTGATGTCATCACAGGGAACCCAAAGAGAGCAGAAGAAAGATGGGAGACATACCTCGAAGAAAGCGTACTTGGCTCTATGGCTGCCGGTATTGTAGAAGCATGTGATCCTGACAGTAAGCCGGGTGAAGCAAAAAAGTACTTTAAGGGTTTGGGGCGCGCAACTGGTAAGGCGGTGCTTGGGGGAGGGCTTCTGCGAGACGTTCCCTTTTTTAATGAGCTTGCTGTATGTGGAGAAGCCCTGGGAGATGTGATAGGTGGAGGAGACACCAAATCCGCAGAAAAAAGATTTGAGACATATCCAGAAAATAGTCTAATTGGTGGTGCGGTAGGAGCAATTGTAGCAACAAATGCTGGCGATGAAGAGCACGCTGAAAAGTGTGCAGAAGGTTGTAGGAAGGCTGCATTCAGGTTTGGTGTTACAGCTGCCGGGCTGGCGGTCACTGTAGCCACTGGGGGGCTAGCGGCTCCCTATGGTGTCGCCGCTTCTGTTGCTACTGGGGCGGCAGTTGGTGGAACGACGGGAGCCGCCTCAACAGCGCTAGTGCAGGTTATAGATAAAGGGAAAGTAGATGATGCTGGTGCGGTTATTGGCAATGGTTTGTTTGGAGGTTTTGTCGGAGGAGTAAGCGATGGGATTGCTGCTAAGAGGGCTGCCTCAAAGGCCAAAGCGCAAGCCAACAGGCCCGCGAGACAAAGAGCAAACTCAGAATCGTTATCGACCTCCTCTGAAGCGGAGTTTTCCCCTCAGCGTCCATCCACAACAAAACAACGAGACAGCTTCTCATTTGAAGGGGGCAAAGCAAAACGACACAGCGAAATTCCGGATGTGTGGAGTCCAAAAGATGCTGGCAAAAAAGCAGACATCAAAGCTGCTAACGAAACCGCACGAGTCGACATTCAAGAGTCAGTTAAAAATTGCAGTCGAAGAACTCGTCCCGGCAAGACATCCGTGATTCAAGATGCAGAAGGCAATGCGTATGGTACTTCATCTGTGAGAGGACCTAAAAGCCAAGCTGAGCTGAGAGATACTTTAGGAAGCAAGCAAAGTAGAGTCTTGGACTCCATCCATGAAGAAGTCCGTGGTGTCGGACATGGCAATTGCGCTGAGCAGGTTGCTGTGAATAACACACGTTATTTTCGGCAGAAAACCGGTGAAAAGCTGTTTGCAAAGAAAAGTGAAATAAAAGTGCAGGCATTTGCACCAGCCAAAGGCGTTAAAGGAGTATACAATGTTCCTGTAAAGCCTTGTGGCTCGTGCCAGCCGGTTCTTAAGGAGTTTGGCATTTCACATGGTGCCACACAAGCTCTACCCTTGAAATGTGATCGCATGGCCCAAATGATTGCCTCTGGTTTGACTGTTGGCTGCAAAGCGTGCCAGCATTGCCAGGAAAAGAAAGAGTGATTCTCTTTGCAAAGCAAGTGGAGAGGGACTTAGGCGTGATTATATCTTTTTCTGATTCAGTGTTTTCCTTTTACTGTTGACTGTAGAAAGGCGTAAAAGCAACAATTACGAAACAAAGCGATCTTAATGTCAAGAAACAAAACAGAAATTTCTCGCGATGAAGCAATCTGAAATGTACTCAGGTAGTGTGCAAGTACTCCATTAGTCATGGATCAATAGTGACTGATTGATTTTTTGACGATAATTTTTGCCACAAATTAGAATCAGTTGTTTTTTTATAATTAGAGCACTTTCACTATAGCAGTGCGAGACTGAATATAGTTGAAATAGCTGGTGTTCCACGTTGCCCTGAAAGCATATTACTTTGGTAGGATTAGTCAGTCCATTGCAAATTTGATATTTGATTATATTCGCGGAATACTGAGACCGAGCTGTAGTAAAAATTTTCCATGAGTTTCGTAGGCGTAAATTAACTTCAACTCCCTCTATCGGTGTTACTTTTGCCTCGATCATTACCTTAGAATCAAAAGCTTTCAGAGTTCACTGAAACTAAAATAGGTCATTTTTAGCATTTCTAAGTTTCTTTTACCCGTGCTCATGAAAATATGAAGCATAATCAGCAGTCGTACATCGTACATGCATTGTTTGGCCGTACAGGGCGTAATTTCACTGTTCTAATAGACTTTAGACCATTCCGTTTTGCTAAGTATTTCAGCCATTTTAATAAAGAACTTTCTAGTGTGGATGTTGACTCATTCTTAGTTTGTTTACTATCATACTTGTTTGCCGGATTAGCATCACAAATTTGTAACTAGAATGAACCGCTCTTATTAAGTAATGATCCGGGTAAGGTGGATAGCAATTTCTTTTGTTATGCGGCAACGGTGCTTTCCCCACATAGGAATGTTCTCATTTTTACACAGAGAATGCATAAACCTACATGAAGGCCGTTTACGCAATAAAATGCATTTACACTCCACTTTGAAAGGGTGTTTTTTTTGTGTTAAAAGATTTTGACCAATCACAAGAGTTGAAAACAATAGCCAAGAAAAGTTTACAATTTTACATGTTCCCCACATAGGATTTCTTTGTTATTCAAACATAGACCAGATTTTGTTATACGGAAGATTGTTGGAAAGTAAGGATGAATATATGTACCGCTTTATGAAGTTTTGTTAACTTTTGCTGTTTAAGCCAATGAGAAGTCAGTACAGACAATAGAAAAGTTAGCACCTTTTTTTGCATTCCAACATGTTCGTTGCCGTTGTTGCTATCGTTCTCAGCTGGACCGTTTCTTAACAGAAAAAGAGACCAGACCAGAATGTTCATCGGCAAACCTGGCCTTGCGGGTACAAGCGTTGTCCATCCCCTGACGAAACGAAATGCTCGGTAATCGAACTTAATCCGAACATAATGGAATGTAATCGAACGATTGGGTTCGGTTAGGCCGATAATCGAACACAATCCAACCAGAAAGTATGTGAGAGAGTTCGCTTGCGTTCGATTTCCGAACTAATCGAACCCAAGTGAGCGCAATGGAGCACAATCGAAGAAGTCTGACATTCACCTCAAATACCACCAAATATTTAAATAGCCAGCCTCAAATGGTACAAAATCGAACTTACTCGAGTTAATCGAACCCAGCAATCGAGCGTTCGATTGATCAATATTTTTGGCGAGAGTTCCATTACCGAGTTCGGTCATTGATCTCAGAAAATCGATGAGTATCGGGGCCCAATGTATTCTCTCTGAGCAAGGAACATAACCGCAGTGGTAACATATCATGGCCTCACTCAGGGTTAAAATTAATTAATACTTCAAGATTAGCCACACACAGTCACGAGGCTTTAATAAACCTAGAATGACCTCCAGGCCTAGAATTGCCTCCTTTAGCGATGGCAAGTTACTTTCCACTGGGGCACCCAACGACAATTTTCGGAAAAATATCTGTTCGGAAGACGATTTGAGATCTAGAATTTTCGGAACATTTGTTGTAAAATTTCTTGCTTGCATGCCTCTCCTAGGATTTTCGAACATGGTATACTTGCCCATTTTTAACTCATTTTTACCCTAAAAAGTTCACCTAGAATTTTCGGGGGCCTATTTTCGAAAAGGTAAGTTTTGATCCCTATAACTTTCGGATCACTAGACTGTCAGCTAGGAAATCCGAACAGGTGAAAAACTTTTAGGGGATAAAAATATGCCTATATCTACCGTTTAATGCTATGTTTAAGTGGTTTTGAACTATATTCTCGTTGGGTGCCCCTGTTTCCAGGTTTACTACTTAAGATAGTAGTGACAATCGACAGTATCCCGGGAACTTGAATATGGTGTTGGTTTTGTTACCAAAACTATTCTTCATTTACCATTTTCTCAGATGATGCTACGTTTCTGCGGTGCCCGGGGACCAAACTTGGTGACGGGCGATGGCTGTAAGGGATCCTTCGGCTGTTCTCTGTGTTGCGACTGTTGCAACAATTTTTATTCAGTAAATAAATAAGATAAATAACCTTTGTTTACTCTCGGCAGTGCTTTAGCACAAGTGCTATTGGGGCCGAGCATTAAACTTCAGAAAGAGATAATTTGAATTGAAAGTAACAGGGATAAAAACCCCAATTGACAGGAGCCGCAGACCAGCCGGCTATTTACAAGCGCGGCCGAGGAGTTGATCTCGGGGCCACCGAGAAACAACTCCAACTAATGATCCAGAGATTAACACACCAAAAATGACTGAACTCTCTTTTGGGAATTTTATTTGGTAGGGAAGATGTGTCTAAAACATTTCCCACAGTTGGAGAGGAGCGCTGGGGAGGAGCGTTGCGTGACGATACTAAAAACGGCTGCGATGGAGACTAGAAACATCCAGGAGACACAGTCACTACAACTGGTGCATAGTGACGTCTGCAGTCCAATGCGCACGCACACACTCGACTGGAGGAGTGAAGTATTTAAAGTGAAGTTTTACGTCATGTTTGTTGACGTCTACACTTGGTGCTGTACTGCATGTTTACTTCATGAAAGACAATATAAGTCAACAGTGTTTGATAAATTTAAAGAATTCAAAGCCAATGTTTGCATCAACGTTTGCACGCGATAAGAACTTTGCAAATGGACAATGGTGGTGAGTATTTTCCTACTAAATTCCCGAACTATCTGGAGGAGAAAGGAATTACACATGGGTTTACAATACCACACCCACCCGGCAACAGGGATTAAAGAAGGAATGGTCAACTCAGCACGCTTGATGATCCTGCACTCCAGCATTATCGTACATCTATTGGGCGGAAGCCACAACGTATCTCTACAGCTGCTTAGGTGGGAGAAATTAGGGAGTTTTAGCATCGACGACGGCAGCGGCAGCGTAAACGTCACTTTTAAAATGAATCAGCATTCTTTTAAACTTTCTCGCGTTTATTCCAGTTTGCTGAAAATGTCTATTGTAGGCAAATTTCCCTGGAGTTGATTTCTTGGGGACCACACTCAAGTTTAGAAAGAGGAAGAAAATTTCGTCGTCGCTTGTTTACATCGTCCATAAAACGTGAAATTAGGCATTTTTACGTCGCAGTCGTGCAGTAACGGCAAAAAAATGGACAAGTTTGCAAGTTTGCACATCCATTTTGCACGTGATGCACGTGCAAACTTGTTGTTTTGCTTAATAAACTCATTGCTGTTTTGCTGTTCTCATTGCCGTCGCCGTCGTCGTTGCTAAAAATCCCTATTTCCTTTCTACAACGGTGCTAAAAGAAAACCAAACTTCTTATAAGTAGTGGTATGAGAAGAAACCAGATGTGTGCCACTTACGAGTATTTGGATGTATGGTTTAAGCCCGTGCACGTGACGACGAAATTAAAAGACATGCCGCAAGAACCACATAAGTCTAAAAGAACTTGAAAAGCACCCGTTACATACGGTTTAATGAATACAAGTATAATGCAGAGACCTCAATTCACGTGTAAACCATGTCGCATATCATCTTGTGTACGGATGAAACCACAACCATACAAGAGGCAATGTCAAGTGACCATGCTGCATAGCTATGTATTTAGAGTACAATTCCCTCAGGATGAAAACAAGATGTGGAAGTTGGTTTAGTTATCTTTGGGTCAAAAAGCCATGAAATGGTAAGTGTAACATTATTTTACTCGCAAAGTTGATTTTTGTTGCGTTTAACTAAGGTGCAGGGATCTTTGCAAAGCGACCGATCCAGCCTGGCTCATGTAATCAGGCCCTTCGTTACCTTTTTAAGGGCGTTCTAATCAAAGTAATGATGACATAATTTCTGCCCATGGATGTCGCGTGTGTGACCCTTATTTGCTTGGTCTGAAAACGGGGATGGATTTTAAGGCCAGGTATGAAAACGGTCGGTTGGAAAAAGACACTTCTTCTGGTCCGTTCTGGCGGCACCCCCCCCCCCCAAAAAAAAAAATTACCAAAAGTAACCCCCGAGAATTGTAGGTTTCTAAATTCTTCAGTGCACGAGAGAGGTTTCAAAAAGCAATTCTAAACGACATATTTATGACATTACGCCAGCTTTCAGCACGTACAGTACATGGTTATAGACAGGGTGTCCAAAAGTTCGTTCCTCTAAATTCATGCACCATAACTTTTGATCAAAACTTCAGTTTTACATGAAATTGCTGGAAGATGTTTATTTCTCTATTGAGTACATGTATTCAGAAGTTCAGTTACTGGCATGCCCTTTTTGTTTTTCTATCACATTCTGTAGCGGTTGTTGCATGAAGTGGGACACAGCGTGTAGACCCACAGATGATCCATTTTGAGCTTTCCTATCACCTGGTGCGCAAGGGCCAGTTCAAGCCCCAAGCAATATTTGTTTAGTTTAGGCAGCTGGGAAAAAAATATGTTTTGGGCATTCATACAAAAAAGATGATCATCCCGGCCTCCTTCTACCGCAAGATTTTGTACTTCCCTACAAATATGAGACGAGCTGGGCGTTACTTGGCAGACTAAGCAGAGGTTTTTTTAACCAACTCAGGGACCTCTAATTTTAAACATTTTAAACAGCTTTTCATGACCCTTTCTGGACTTGGCTTGCTAACTAATGTGAGAGCTTTCTCGTTAAGTGTCCTTTTTTTATATCTAGCCTCCTTTAAAACTGTTTAGCTGCTTTATGCGGGAGTTTTGGTCTTCCCCTTTATTTCTTGCCTTCAAAACCTTCATTCCTCCATGATCATTTTATCATCCACCATTCGGATTTTTCCAGTTTTTTAGCAGTTTCTACGACAGATAAGCCAGTAAATCGAAATATACATGCTCTTGCCTTAAAAAGGTTGGCTGAAGGGATGGGGTTGGGGATTTATCTTTCGTGATATTCACAAAAAACAAGGAAGGAGTTCGAGCAATTCGGGCTATAGAATACAAAAAATATGTGCCTGGAAAATATACTCGTGCACGCGCACCTTTGGTGCGGAAGTGCACAAATCGAATATTCGAGTCAAAAAACTGGCCCAACAAGTATGAAAATGGTGAATTAGATTGAAAGACAAATTTTGTTTCAATGATTTGCTTACCAAGTCCAATCGTACTGAAATATAGACTTCTAAAGTAGAGAAACGAACTTTTGGGACACCCTGTAAAAGCAGTCTACTTCCACATTATATAAAAAGAATTAGAAATACAGTGAAACCCTCCTTTATCTTTTCCGCAAATCAAATTTGGTCTCAGTTTAACAAAAAGGGATCAAACACAACTAATAA